AAGCTGTTGAGTTAAATCCACCCATATGATTTTCTAGATATATTTTAATATTAATTAATTTTGATGATATTAAATTAATTACGTTAATTTAACATTTATTATAAATTATTAATAAAATAATTACATCTATCAAAATATAATTCATCAGTCAAAATATAATTAATTAGTAATTTATCAATTTACATTAAAATATACTTACAGATATCCTACAAATCCAAAAAAACTTTTAAAATAATCTTTCAAGTTTATTTAAAAATATAACATTATTATATAAAAATTTTTGATTTTTCATTTATTAAATCTTCATGTGATTTTGTAATATCTATTTTTAATCTTTTCATTTCTTTTAAACTATTATCAAATGTAATATAAATTTTTGAAAAATTAGTCTTACTTAAAAAATTATAATTTTATTTTGATTTAAAATTTTTAAGATAATAATTTATTAAAATAAAGTATTTTTCAAGAAAGTTTTTACCTTTTATACTATATATAAATTCACATATTTCATTTTTATTTGTTTATTAAAAGAAAGTTATTTAGATATATATTATTACGTTAAATATTTAAAATATTTATTTTTAATGCATTTAACTATATTTAATAATATATGATTTTGTTGAATTCTTGAAAATTTCTTATTATAAGTTTGAAATAAGTCTAGAATTTGCTAAATATTAAAATTAATATAATTAATAGCTTTAATATGTAAAATTACTTATAATTTTCATTAAAGAAATTTAATTTTTTAAAGTAAATTATTTGTAAAAAAAAAAAAAATTTATATGAATAAAGATTGTCTGTAAAAAAAAATTATTTATTTATTTATTTATAAAAAAGTTTAAAAAATAATAAATTATAATTATAAGATATTGAATAAAATCACTTATCTGATACTTGAGCTGAATAATTATTGCTATCTATAAAGTAACTAATAATATTAGAAATCAAATTTAATTTGTGATTCAAAGCTCTATAGGAATCCTGAATTAGCCAATCAAATTTGATTTAACTAATATAATAGTTATTCAGTACTTTATATACTGAATAAATTATTACTTATAACCTATAATTTAATATATTATTTGCTCTTCTTTTATTAATTTAAATAATAATTCTATTAATATATTAGAGATTCTTTATAATAATTAAAAACAATTTTTAATTTTTAAAAAGTATATATACTTAGTATATTAAAGAATTTATAAATTTATTTAATGACCTGCAATTTGAGAATATAAATAGAATAATAAAATGATGAAAAAAACAAATAAAATGAAATCATTATAATCTACAATAATATTTTCTCAATTGAATAATGCATAAATACAAGCTACGTGATCCCCTCTAGCCAAAAAGGTTGTTAGAATTCTTTCAGTCAAATAATAAGCTTTATCAAAGTGATATTTGTATGTTAAATAAAATCATAAAAATCGGTATTTATACAATTACACGTGATTTACAGGTTATATGTCTTCGCAAAATGCAAATTTATTACCAAAGCCATTGAGCATATACTGTATTCTTATTTTTTACATATAATATTTTGTCGATAAATAATCTTTTACCATTTTCCTAACTTCTTACATATATGGGTGGATTTCTAGAAAAATCAGGTTCCGAGAAATTTTTGACTAAAATTAAGAGCTTATAAAAATTCTCAATTTTGTCAAAAATTCACGGAACCTGATTTTTTCTAGCAACCTATGATCTTCCTTTAAATGCGGTAAATTTTGCTGCAGAGTGTGTATTTTTGTCTCTTATTTCCGAAAAGCTCTGATGGTTCCTGTGATTGGATCATAGAAAATATGAATGAATCTATAATAAAAAATTTTATCTTTCATGCTTTCGGCTTAAAACCTGGCAAAGTATTCCTCTAATTACATATTATTATTAATAGAGTCGATTAATTAACTGAGCTCGACAGATGTATTTGACGCAAAGTAAATGTTTTTAAATTTGGAATCCAGTTAATTTTAATTTCGCAATATTTGTATTTTCTATGTAGGACTGAATGGTAAGCCTCGAATGGAGATATCTTGCTTAACAGGTTATAAAGGTCTAGCATTTTCTCCCTGTTCGATCTTATCTAACGGGTTGCAGATTTCTTCCTTGACATCCTTATTTGACACTTGCCAACTTTATTGCGCAGTTTATATAATTGTTGGGTGTTTTTGTCTGTAGGCTTTCTTTTTCTGCGCGGACAGTCTTTTGATTTGATGATGAGCAGTGGAGCGGAATTCAAGTAATCATGTGGACGAAAATTGTTGCGACAAATTATAAGAGGGTAATACATGATTTTTTGGTTTGCAAAAACGCCAAGATTCGTGGGACAATTTTAAAAGTTAAAAAGGAGCTTTTTGATACGGAAAAACCATCATCTAATCTCCGAATCTAAAGACGGTACGTCATCTTTACGCCATTTAAACATCTGTAGTGAAACATATCAAAACCTTATATAAATATAGTTCAATTACCTTAAGGGAAAAAATGGGTTCTTTTGTTACGAACTCATACTAATAAATTTGATATCTAAAAGAAAATATGGCCAACAAATACGCGAGTAACCCGCGTTTTTCTTTCGTGACCTTGACTATTGCAGTGTTATTTGGCATATTAGTTGGACTTTCTTTAGTTCAAGCTCAACTTTTGAATCAAGAAGATGTTCTTATGGAAACTGATAGTTGGTTAGGTGATAAGGCTGAACAAATATTGGAAGATAAAATCAAGTCCTTTTTCCATAACAAATGGGGTAATAAACAAAGTAAAGCTGATGACGGCTGGGTTAAGATTTTAACTCATAAAGCTTTTCCTGAATATGAAATTAAATTAAAAGAGCCAAAACTTTGTGATCCTAATGTTCAACAGGTTTGTATATTACGACTAATAAAAAAAAGAATTAAATCTTGCATAAAATTCTTATCCAAAATTTTTTTTTCATAGTATTCTGGATATCTTGATGCTGGAAATAAAAAACATTTCTTCTTTTGGTTCTTTGAATCGAGAAATAATCCTAAAGAAGATCCTGTTGTCCTTTGGGTTCGTATTTATATTAATCTTCATGTTGAATCGCTGATCCAAAAAATTTTTCATTTATCAATCATTAATTTCCATTCTTTGTTTGATTAGCTTAATGGAGGTCCTGGGTATGTATAAAATTAATTAGTGATTAGGAAATAGAAAATCAGTAACTAATTTCATATTACTGTATTATTATATCTCAGATGTTCTTCCTTGACTGGTTTGTACTTTGAACTCGGTCCTTGCTCAGTTACTGAAGATGGAACCTCTACAACTTTGAATGAATATTCATGGAATAACAATGCCAGTGTTTTATTCTTGGATCAAGTATGAATTTTTGTTACGACTTGTTGCTGATTCCTTATGATATTTGGTAATATAATTAAATGGATTTAATAATATATAGCCTATAAATGTTGGATATTCTTATGGAGATGGTGTTTCAAACACTCTTGCTGCCGCCAGTGATGTTTATGCTTTCCTCCAAATCTTTTTTAAAGAATTCACCCAATACGCAAACTTGGATTTCCATATCGCTGGTGAATCGTAAGTAATAAATTACGCGAATTCGGGAATCCAATTGAAACTATCTAATATGCTTTTTTTTTTTCTTTTTTTTTTTTTTAAATAGGTATGCCGGCCACTATATTCCTGCTATCGCTGCGGAGGTTAATAACAACAATAAAGGAGTTTCTTCATGGATCCTTTCAAGGCCAGAGGTATCACAAGATCTTACCCATATTAATCTTGTATCAGTTCTAATAGGCAACGGTCTCGTCGATCCTTTAGTTCAATACGAATACTATCCACAAGTAAATTGCTGTTTATCTTTATCTTTTAAAATATTTTACACTGAAATTATTAACATGTAAAGAAATATCATTTATCTAGATGGCATGCAACAGTTCATATGAGCCAGTTTTGGATCAAGATACCTGTTTCCGAATGGCTAATGCATATCCGGAATGCGCTAGAATGATTAATAACTGCTATAAAAACAATAACGTCTTTTCTTGTCTTCCAGCTTCAATGTATTGTAATAATAAGATGATTCAACCTTACCAAGCTTCTGGACAAAATCCTTATGACGTAAGAGAGAAATGTGAAGGGGGTGATTTATGTTATCCTATCCTTAAAGCCATTGAGAAATACTCCAATCGTGAAGATGTCAAGGAAGAATTGGGAGTTTCTGATAATATCCAATACAAGTAAGCAAATCAAATGTCTTTGAAATATTCGTTTTGAAGCAATTTTAATTTTTTTCGCGAATTTTATAACAGGAGCTGTAATATGCAAATTAATTTTGCTTTCCAAATGGCCGGAGATTGGTAAATAATTGCGATCATGTAAATTTGAGTTTTAAACTTTCTTTACTAATTGTACCTTTACTTGTTATCATTAGGATGAGACCGTTCCATCTTTTAATCCCAGGACTGTTAAATTCGAACATAGATGTCCTAATATATGCGGGGTAAGTATCAAATCGAAATATTTAAAGTTAAAACTGTAGATTCACCTAATATATATATATATTTTTTTTTCTCTTTTTTTCTCCAGCGACGCCGATTTTATTTGTAATTGGTTGGGAAATGAAGCTTGGGTCAAAGAATTGAAATGGGAAGGTAAACAAGGATTTAACGAAGCCAAAGTTACAAAATGGATCACGGAAGACACATCTAAGCATGCGGGAGATGTTAGAACTTACGAAGGATTAACATTCTTGCGTGTATTCAAAGCAGGTCACATGGTTCCATATGATCAGCCATCGGCTAGTTTAGATTTCTTTAATAGATGGATTAATAAGAAATCAATTTAAAAGAAATGTATCTCGTTATATGTTTTCTGATTTTGTTTCATAATTAAATATATTCGAGAGTTTTATTGTTATGATTATTTCATTATTATTATTATTCACACTTCAATAAATAAATTCCCATAAATACATTTTAATTGATATATGATAATAAATACGTGATATATTAAAAATTCTGAATATTAATTACTTGAGATTCGTTTAAACAGTTCGGAATGGTAAGATCAATTTGTCTAGTATCAAGATTATCAACAGTATTACTAATTACGCTACTTGTTTGCATACTTGAAATACAAGAACTTGTATCATATAATGTAGAAGATAAAAAATGGTTACTTGAAAAATTATCATCATCACAAACTATACTTGTATTATTCTCAACAATTTCGTTATTCGAATCATTATCCCATTTTTCATAAATCTTATCAATTAATAACCATTTAACAAATTTAGCGTATAATTCTTTTGCGGTTGGTCTTTGAGTATGATCACCATTCCAACAAGATTGAATTAAGTTCCATAATTGTAATGGAACGCCATTAACGGGAGGAGGTCTTAGACCATTAATAACTAATTGTACCAAATCGAAATCATGAGAAAGGTTATCATAAGGTCTTTTACCACTTAATATTTCCCAAGCCACGATGCTAAAACCGTAAATATCAGCTTCGGGTCCATAATAGTTATTAGATAAAACTTCAGGAGCAACGTAAGGAAGAACACCAAAGATCGATCCTTTACTACTTAATTCTTTTGTTTCTTCCGTATTAGGACGACATAATCCTAAATCCGACACGTAAAAGGAATTTTTACTTTTTAAAATATTGCCGGAATGGATATCAGCATGAATTAATTTAGCCGAGTGAATATCTCTTATAGCTTGAATAATTTCTTTTAATATACGCAATTTATCTTGAAACTTAAGACCGTTATAATTCTTTGAAAGATAAGTTCTTAAATCACCACTTTCAGCGTATTCCATAACGATCATGTAATTCTCATTATTCGGTTCTCCTGTTGCTCCATAAACTAGTGGAGTGTTTGAACTATAAAGTTTTGCTTGCAAATCCAATTCTCTTATGAAATTCTTAATCACATTTTTATTACCTAATAATTTTTTCAATACTACTCTTTCGGGTCCTGAACCATTTACACCGGCTTTCCAATTTGCTGTATAAATTAAACCTTCTCCACCTCTACGTAATAAATTGATTTTCTCGAATTCATTTAATGGGATGAAAAATATTGGTAAATTTTTCGGATTTTGTTGGTTAAGCACGTGCGTACTTTTTAAATAATCATCCAATTGTTCTGATCCACTACTAGTAAAATTTTGAATTCTCTTTGATATTGTTGATGTCGTTTGCATTGTTTTGTTTAAATGAGTGATTGATATGAGAAAAAGTTGATGAAATAATGGAAGGTTTTATATAACAATTGTTCAATCAAAGCGCAGCCGTAAAAAAATTTTCTATATTGAAACAAACAAAGAAGAAAATAATAATGAGGAATCATGAGACAATTGAAACTCCGAGTCTCGTCTTTTTTTGATGGAAGGGGGATTTTTCTTTCATGCTTGATGACGATCCGATTGTTTTACTTTTATAGATATTCTCTTCATAATAATTCCATCTTTTAAATCTTTTAAATTGTTATAGCTTTCTAATTCTTTTCTTATAAATTCTTTAAATATCTATATCTAGTTAAAATTGTTTGTATAAAAATCACAAAGCTTTTTAGCATACAGAAAAGAACGCTGAAAAGCCTGTGCTACTTGCTTAACCTCTATTCGTAAAGGATCGGAAACACTAACTTCTATTTGTAAGGGATCAGATAATTTTTTTGACGGTTTATACTAACCGAAAAATTCAGTTTTCGGTTTGTTTGATAATAAAATATGGTTTAGCCCTTTCTATCATTTTTATAGCATAATTTCATGCGTAAGGCTTCTTGCTTCATGCTTCGACAATCAGCTTTTACGAACAGCGGTTCAATATAAAGGATCTAATTACGCCATACGCCGCGCAAAAAAACATTACACAAGTGGCGTTTTTAAAAATTTTCTCAAACTTTTTTTTTTTAGTTAATTTAATTAAGAAAAAAAGAAAATATGCCACGACTATTTTGACTATTTAAAGCAAATGCATTTATGAATGACTGAAATAAAATCTCGCCGACCTATTTAAAATCCTCTCCGAATTTATATCGAAAGTTATCGAAAAAAAACACTCCTTCATTTCTATATTTTTTTTCTCTCAGAAATAAGTAACGAATAAACAATGAAAAAAAAAAAAAAAAAGGATGAATCTCTCGTGAAATTCCCAAAGAAGATTTCTCTTACGCTACCTTTTCTTACTAAAAAAAAAATGATAAATAAAAAGCTTCCATCTTCTTTTTACTATTACCAATTACCAATAACCGTCAAATTCTTCTCAAAAAAAAAAACTATAAAATCATGCCAGCAAAATTCACACTTATTTGTATAATTCATTCAATAATTGAAAGAGACATTACAGAGCATATTGTGAGAGAAGCAATCGTTATATTAAGGAGAGAAACAAATGTAAACTTAGAACTAAGAATAATTACTTTTTTTCCTAAAAATTCCCAAGTACCGAGATGGATTCCTCTTTTTGCTGATGGAAATATCTTAAGATTTACTGGAAAATTGGCACTGCCAAAAGACCCTCATGATGCTATAGAAGTAAATAAATTCAGTTAACTAATTTAATTAAAAAAAAAATATTCGTAACGAATATTTTCTCTTTCACTATCAAAAAAATATCTAGATGACAGCAAATGCAGCTGACCTTATAAATATCAGTCGAGACAATTTGCCAATCAGTTCTATTTCTGTTTTTCTTACAGGTTTCGTTGCAGAAATGGAATCAGTTCAAAGTGATAACCTATTTAAAATCATTTAGCTAAACGTGACTGAATTTACTGGAAGTTCACAAGGTGGACCCACAGGAAGAACATTCTGCATTAAATGCAGATACTTGAAATCCGATAGATAAATTGAGAAAAAGGCAACTAGAATTAGAAAAAACTCAAATTTAATGATCACCGGCGAGATGATCCGTATTGATGAAACACTTGAATACATAGTTGAAATACAAGATATTAATTTCCTTCCAATGTCTATAGCAATGATTATCGAATCACCAACTGGAGAATCCGCCTCATCCCTATATTCCTGGCCAGCCCGGACAATCTTCAGGAAGAATTTCTACACAAGCAATGGCAAGTGCCGCATCAAACACCTAATCATCAAGCTCAAATGTGACAAGTGTCGCGTCAAACACTAAATCACTAAGTTCAAATGAAAATCCGCAGCCTGAATAAAAAAACTCACAAATCTTCCTTTTTCATTTTTCATTTTTTTTTATTACTTTTTTTTACTATTTTTATATACAGATATATAAAAAATTACTCTTCTCAATCTCCCACCTCTTTTTCTTTTTTTTTTTGTTACTATTTTTATTTTATCCTTTTTTTTTTACCGAATTATTCATCAAATTATTTTTTTTTTTTATCAATAAAAAAACACTTTCTTTTAACTAAAAAAAAAAATAAAATAAAATAAAATTATTATTGGTTAAATAGCTTAAACTAAATCAGTAAATTAAACCAATAAAATAACAATAAGTTAAACAATTCCAATCGCAAATAAATTGGACTAATTGTTCCTCTCTTCTTCTCCTAATAAGTAAAAAAAAAGAATGTATATATTAAACCCAATTTTTTCTAGAATCTGCTCTATACTCCAAAAAAAAAAGATAAACCAATCTGAAACCAGAATCAGACGACTTGACCTAAAAAAAAATCTTGACCATCTTAAAATAATCAATACAATTGTCTTGTTCTAAAACAATAAGAATCAAAAAAAACTAATACAATTACTATATCTTCAATTAGTATGATTGCTTTCAAACAAGAATAATCAAAAGAATTAATATAATTATCGCCCTTAATAAAACAAATAAAATAACTGAATAAACATATAAATAACTCCCTCGTTTTTATCCTAATCCTTACTTCTTTCTCACCTTTACAAAAAAAAGATATCCATAATCAACTTAATCAACTATGTCTCATCACGTATACAATATATATTTCATAGATATACCATTCGAAAATATGATTAACCTATCCTTCGATGATTCATTCACTAATCTAACAAATACCCAATCATCCCAAAATATCAGTATTCCAATCATCAATGCAAACACCCCAAACTTGAATCTTTCTACAAATCAAACATCATCCACATTACCAGATAATGATCCATGGAGACCAAGTGAACCTTTTAACGAATCTATAACAAATTTCAACTATATTAAAAGAATATCCTGACACCCCTTGTATCTATTGTGGAAAATTACTATACAAAAATAAGCCATCTGGATCACATACAATTTCTCGACAACCTACCCAATCGAATAAATCAAGCAAATTGACGTATTAGTTTGATATGGCATACTGAGACGTCAAATCATTAAAATCCCTTCATGTAACTCATGCGCAAAACCTCAAAGTAGATATCCATTTCCACCATTAGCTAAAATTCCAGATGAAATCAAAGTCATACCTATACATCATAGAAAATTCTTATTCTCTGTCTATCTACATTATTCCCTCAGATGAAACTCAAATCTTGACAATTACTCAGAGTATTATTGCTTTGTAAGAACTATAGGATACTCAATAAATTTTAAGGCACTAGCACTATACTTTAGTACAATAGGGACCTACCTACAACCACTTAACCCAAATCATATCCCAAATGATCCCTATCTACGCAATTATACAACCATTCTAAACCAAAAATTTGGTATAAGACTAACAGAACTATTTTCAAATGCTACACACATCCTAAATGACGATTTTGCATTACTCACAAATTAACGTGATATAATCGTACTAACTATAAATCTACTAAACTAAGTCTACAATGAAGATTTTCATTATTCGCATCTAATAGCCAGATTTGTTCGTGACGACAATAACAACTTCTTATACATTTTAATCTACGATCTAAATCTCAAGCCTTTCCTATTCCCACACTTATTTCCTGATGGCAAAGGTCATTTTCACAATATAAGAGATTGTTTCTAATCAAACGAAGACAGATTAGAGATCTTAGGAAAATACACCAAACATATAATACTACTCAACGATCATAGATTTAGAATAGATTACTATTAGTTATCTTATACATACATATAATTAGAGAAGCTACACTATCACCAGAACACCCAGTGTATACTACAGCAAAGAAATACTGACAAATCAACAAAGTAATTATTCAAATAAAAAACGTATAAACAAAGACTTGATCATCCAATTCCTATATTTATTAGAACAAGTAACTCTTACTTCCATGAAAAGGAATTACACCTTAACTCAATATTACAAAATCTCAGACTCCCAATAATATTCATTATACTATCGATAACAGAAAGTAGATAGTCAGAACTTCACAACATATTAAGACAAACTGATAACGGTAATATTATTCTGACCAACAGGCTACTACATACTACTTTTATTTCATCTACCAGTTCAGATCACTAAAAAAAAGTTTGAAAAAATAAGGAAGTAAGCAGATGTGACACAATAACAGATTTCTTTAACCAAATAGAATTTCAAAACAGGAAGGCCGCTCATATACATGACTGCTACTAGACCACAAAATCAATTGAAGGCATGATCCAGGATAACATTATACATTCTGACCTACCAGATCTAATACATAAACCAGAATTCTACGAAAAAGTCCTAGTATACTAAATTCATTAATGCAACCCTCTCAAATGCAATAGATCCGTTCCCTAGAAGAGTAATGCAAAAAAGGGATTTCTGAAACAATTCTCTGACATGACACATATTGATCAAAACTCCTATCAATACATCTACTTATATACAAAACCCCAGACCAATAGGTAGTACTATACTATCCTAAAACTTTGCTAATTTAGAACGCATACATGAATGCTCAATACGTAACTTTAAAAGGATTCGCTAGATATATCACAAAATACGTAACTAAAGCAGAACCCTCTCACGTCTTTAACATTACAGAAAAAGATAAATTTAGAAAACATATAATCACTAGAAGATTAGAAGCGATAGAAACCATATTTCTAATATTAGACGAAACTATATGCAATTCTTCAATTCAAGTAAAATACCTAAACATAGACCCTCCAAATAGCAGATCCAAAGTGGTACTACCAATCTATCTACTAACAAATGAAAATAAAGATCCATATTTTAAGAATCTAATAGAAAAATATATGAATAGACTAACAGAAGAAATATTCGACAGAATCACCTATTCTCAATATTTTGAAAAGTATCAAATCC